CCTAAAGTCAGCAGTAAAAGGGATATAATAAAGATCAGAGAAAAAATAAATAAAATTGAGTAGAATAAAACAATAGAAAAAAATAAATGAAAGCAGGAGCTGGTTCTTCAAGAAAATAAATAAAATAGATAAACCCTTAGCCAGACTTGTGAAGAAAAAAAGAGAATAACACATACACAGAATCAGAAATGAGAAAGGAAAAATCACTATGGAAAACACAGAAATACAAAGAATTATTAGAGAATACTGTGAAAAATTATATGCTAACAAACTGGATAACCAAAAAGAATTGGATAACTTTCTAGAAAAATACAACCTTCCAAGGCTGACAGGAATGAATACTACACAGAAAATCTAAATAGACCAATTACAAGCAAGGAAATTGAATTGGTAATCAAAAACTACCTAAGAACAAAATCCCTGGACCAGTGGGTTTCACTGCTGAATTTTATCAAACATTTTGTGAAGACTTAATACCCAACCTCCTTAAAGATTTCCAAAAAATAGAAGAGGAGGGAATACTCCAAAACTCATTCTACAAGGCCAGCATCACTCTAATACAAAAACCAGGCAAAGACAACACAAGAAAAGAAAACTACAGACCAATATCCCTGATGAACATAGATGCAAAAATATTCAACAAAATATTAGCAAACCGAATTAAAAAATACATAAAAAATATCATCCATCATGACCAAGTAGGGTTATTCCAGGGATGCAAGAATGGTACAACATTTGAAAATCCATCAACATCATCCACCACATCAACAAAAAGAAGGACAAAAACCACATGATCATCTCCATAGATGCCAAAAGAGCATTTGACAAAATTCAACATCCATTCATGATAAAAACTCTCAACAAAATGAGTGTAGAAAGCAAGTACCTCAACATAATAAAGGACATATATGACAAACCCACAGCCAACATCATACTGAACAGTGAGAAGCTGAAAGGTTTTCCTATAAGATCAGGAACAAGACAAGGATGCCCACTCTCCTCACTTTTACTCAACATAGTTCTGGAGGTCCTAGCCGTGGCAATCAGACAACACAAAGAAATAAAAGGCATCCAGATTGGTAAAGAAGTTAAACTATCCCTGTTTGCAGGTGACATGATATTGTAAATAAAAATCCCTAAGAATCCCCTCCAAAACTACAAGATCTAATATCTGAATTCAGCAAAGTTGCAGGATATAAAATGAATACGCAAAAATCTGTGGCATTCCTATATACTAACAATGAACTAGCAGAAAGAGAAATCATGAAAACAATTCCATTCACAATTGCATCAAAAAGAATAAAATACCTAGGAATAAACCTAACCAAGGAAGTGGAAGACCTATACTCTGAAAACTCTAAGACACTCATGAGAGAAATTAGAGAAGATATCAATAAATTGAAACACATCCTGTGCTCATGGCAGGAAGAAATTCATATAATCAAAATGGCCATCCTGCCTAAGCAATCTACAGATTGAATGCAATTCCTATCAAAATACCAACAGCCTTCTTCAACGAACTAGAGCAAACAGTTCTAAAATTCATATGGAACCACACTCTGAATAGCCAATGCAATCTTGAGAAGGAAGAATAAAGCATGGGGGATTATGCTCCCTGACTTCAAGCTCTACTACAAAGCCACAGTAATCAAGACAATTTGGTACTGGCATAAGAACACACCCATAGACTAATGGAATAGACTAGAGAGCCCAGATATAAACCCAAGCAGATATGGTCAATTAATATACGATAAAGGAGCCATGGATATACAATGCGTTAATGACAGCCTCTTCAACAGCTGGTGTTGGCAAAACTGGACAGCTACATGTGAGAGAATGAAACTGGATTACTGTCTAACCTCATACGCAAAAGTAAACTTGTAATGGATCAAAGACTTGAATGGAAGTCATGAAGCCATAAAACTCTTAAAAGACCACATATGCAAAAATCTCTTGAATATAAACATGAGCAAGTTTTTCCTGAACACATCTCCTCGAGCAAGGAATACAAAAGCAAAAATGAACAAGTGTAACTACGTACAGCTAAAAAGCTTCTGTACAGCATAGGACAGCATCAGTAGAACAAAAAGGCATCCTGCAGTATGGGAGAATATATTTGTAAATGACATATCTGACAAGGGATAACATCCAAAATATATAAAGCACTCAGATGCTTCAATACCCAGAAAGCAAATAACCCTATTAGAAAATGGGTGGAGGATATGAACAGACACTTCTCCAAAGAAGAAATTCAGATGGCCAACAGGCATATGAAAAGATGCTTCACATCGCTAATTATCAGGGAAATGCAAATTAAAACCACAATGAGATATCACCTCACACCAGTTAGGATGGCCAAAGTCGAAAAGAGTAGGAACAACAAAGGCTGGCAATGATGTGAAGAAGGGGGAACCCTCCTACACTGCTGGTGCAAATGTAAACTAGTTCAACCATTGTGGAAAGCAATATGAAGGTTCCTCAAAAAACTCAAAATAGAAATACCATTTGACCCAGGAATTCCACTCCTAGGAATTTACCCAAAGAAAATGATTTCTCAGATTCAACAACTTATGCACCCCTACGTTTATTGTAGCACTATTTACAATAGCCAAGGTATGGAAGCAACCTAAGTGTCCATCAGTAGATGAATGGGTAAAGAAGATGTGGTACATACACAATGGAATATTATTCAGCCATAAGAAAGAAAGAAATCCTACCATTTGCAAGAAGCTGGTTGGAGGTAGAGGGTATTATGCTCAGTGAAATAAGTCAAGCAGAGAAAGACAAATACCAAATGATTTACCTCCTTTGTGGAGTAAAATAACTTCAGTAAAGTAAAACTGAAGGAACAAAATTGCAGGGACTAGTGGGTACCAAAGGGGAGGGGTAGGGAAGGCCAGGTGGGGAGGGAGAGAGAAGGGGATTGTGGGGTATCATGATTAGTGCACACGGTGTTTGTGGGGTCATGGGGAAGACAGTGTAGCACAGAGAAGACAAATAGGGATTCTGTGGCATCTTACTACACTGATGGACAGTGACTGCAATGTGGTATGGGGGTAGACTCGATAAGGGTGAATGTAGCAACCACATTGTTTTTATTGTGAAACCTTCATAAGAGTGTGTATCAATGACACCTTAATTTTAAAAAAGTGAAAAGGAAAAAAAATTATCATGAACATGTTTTCAAGGGCCTTGTAAAAAAAATGGGCCATTATTTGTTAGCATCTCTGATAATTGTAGTTAAATGGGCCTTAAAAAAAAGGCACAGGTAAATTTTTTACATTGTGCAAGAACTCAGGGAATATTGCTCAAGTGAGCCTGTACTAATGAGTCTCCTAGAGGAAGAGCTTCAGACAATCAAATGATTAGAGAGTCATTGACATAAGAACTAGTGTTAAATATTAATGGTTCTTTTTGAACCAAAGCTGAATGAAGTGAAAGGAGATAGATTATAGTATGTAATAGCTACATGATCTGACAATGTAAATATAACATTATTAAGAAGTACAGAGAGAATGGGGATAATGTAAGCAAAAAACTCTTTGAAATATAATTTCAGTAATCATAATTTGGTGGTGGTAGTGGTTCTGTATCACTTTCATGTAACTTGTGCATGAATAAAGTAGATCAGGCAAATGAGTAGTTATAGGATATTCTACCACCCCCTGTGTCCTTAAGATTGAATCTTTATGTGGAAAGGAGATACAGTTGAAATACGATTATCAGGATGACTCTTACTTTTGGAGACAAGCTGGGGACTATTGAAAGGAAAGGAGTGCCACACAGCAGCAATTCACCGGAGAAATCCGCTTTATTAGGGAAAGGTGCTGGGTATAGGAAGGGGCATGGGGTGATTGTGGTGTTACTTCTACGGAGATGGTGGCTATTGGCTAGGTGCTGGGATTGGGAGGGGGGCGAGAGGTGATTGGGCTTCAGGTGGCGCGGGCGGGAACCGAGGACCACCCCCCCTCCCACCCCCCTAGCCCCCCACCCCAGAAGCCGGAAGTTTGCCATCTTACTGGTGGGGGCCCTTCAACTATGATTAAGTTGGGCCATAAGGATGATCTTCTAAGATGTCTGGCAAAGTTCTAGTGCATGACCTGGGTGGTTGCCATACGACTGTTCACTATATTTTACTAAGCTATAAAAATGTGTTTCTCCTAAAAATAATTATACATATAAATTATTGGCTAGAGAAATGCTTAAATTAATTTGTGGTTGATGAATGCACTTCAAATGGTGCAGTTCCTCAAAGAGTCAAACATATGACCCAGCAATTCGACTCTTAGGTATGTATATACTCAAGAGGTAAGTGAAAACATGTCAACATGAAAACTTGTACACAAATGTTTACAGCAGCATTATTCATAATAGCCAAAAAGTGGAAACAATACAAATGTCCATCAACTAATGAATGGATAAATAAAATGTAGTAAGTCTGTAGAATACAATTTTTTTAAATTAAAATATCATTGATATACAACCTTATGATGGTTTTACATAACAGTGGTTTCAACATATAGAATACAATGTTATTCAGCAATAAAAAGGAATGATGTACTGATGCATGCTACAACATGTATTATCCTTGGAAATAGTATGTTAAGCGAAAGAAGCCAGTCAAATACCACAATGTATAAGATTCCGTTTGTATGAAGGTGGTTGCTTAGGTCTGGGGAGAGGTGGGAGATTTGAGGAATGAAAACTAATGGGTACGGAGACAAAAAATGTTCTAAAATTATATTGTACTAATGGTTGCACAGCCCAGAGAACATTCTAAAACCTGAACTGTATACTTTAAACACAATAAACTGCATAGTACATCAAAACAAAAATAAGAAAATAAAAACATTGGTAGTTAACACACACGCACACTGTTCTTCGGATAACCAGCTCTGCTGGAGGTTGAACGGAAAAGGCAAACCCTCAAAAGCATGTTTTTACTATACTGACTTTATTCACAGCAACATCAACCCCGTGGACCGTGAGTCTGTTTATCCAGTGAGTGAGACAGTTGGGTTGTACGGCCAAACCAGCGCAACCCCACGAGAGAAGAAATCGGCAGACTGCAATGGGCTGCGCGGGAACCCTGGCACCGCCCTCGCGGCTCAGACCCAAAGCATCCCTAAGCGGCGCCGCCGCCCTGGGCCGGGCTTCCCTGGCCGGTTGCCAGGCGGCGCAGACGCACTGGTTGCGTCTCCCCACCAATCTCGACCCTCGACGCGTTCCGTTCGTGCGCAGAGGAGCCGGGCGGAAGGCGAGGCAGCTCGGCGGGCAGGGGCTGCGACGCGCCGACCAGCTGGGCCCAGCGACGGCGCGGATGGCGGACTCGCGGCTCTTCCGCGTGGCCGAGGAGCGCAGCGGCCACTGCGCCGTGGTGGACGGAAACTTCCTCTACGTGTGGGGGGGCTACGTGGTAAGGGGAAGAGGCGGGCGGGGCGGACTCGCGCCGGGAGGCCGTCCGGCCCGAGGGGACGCCGAGCGCCCGCCCACGCCGGCTCGGGGCGAGCGCCTGTCACGGCCCGGGTCCGCTCGCCCACGGCGTCCGCGGCGCCCCGCCCGCCCCTCCGCCGTTGGTCGCTCTCCCAGCCCCCCAGCGGCTTGATGCCGCGCCGCCGTTGCTTCCACTGTGACAGCCTCACACCCGGGTCCTGGGGCTCTTCTCACCTCCATCCTCTCCACCCCCGCCACTGTCCAAAGCCCGGGTTTGCCCAGCACAGTCAGTTACTGCGCGATGGTCATCTCTAAATGGTTGGCACAGAGTAGAAAGCACGCTATGCTGTATTATTTAATCAATCATTCCTTATTGTCACCGCGCGACTCGAAATAAAATGCCGAAATTACTGAAGCACTTAAATGTCTCTGAGCAGATTTGCCGGCATTTCTTCACCAATGGGAATTACCAATTTTTTCGAGTCTCAGACTCAGCAAAATATACTAGAGTATTATGCTTAACAACTTTTATTATAAATGGAGGCATTTGTTTTGTTTCTATAACCATAGGATTCTAAAATCAAGGCTTCTAAAGCTGGAAAACAGTTGAGGAATATATACCAGCCCGTTTAGTTGACCGATGGCGGTGGCGGGGTGGGGGTGGGGGGGAACGCCATCTGGAAGTTTTGCTGGAAGTAGAACCTACATTTGTTGACTGTCTCAATACTGTGTGTGATGTGACAGATGTAACATGACTGAATCACTCACTGAAATAAAGTACATACTGTCTACTTTAAATGATTCTCAGATCCAAGTTGGTTTTTGTTCTGTGTGTTTATTTTTAACTTGGTGCAGTGTCAGTGCAGGAAAAGTAGAATTTACCTTTGAGTGCCTACTATACCTAGCATGTTCTAGGAGCTCTCATATCCCTAATCTTATATAATCATTACCATACCTTGTAAGGTAAGTGTATCTCCATTTGAAAAATAAGGACGATGTGTAATGAGAGTGAGTAACTTTAATTTGACCTCTAGTTATATTGGATTTCCAGAGGCCAGTTTTTTCTGATAAGTTAGGTGACTATGCTTTCTTAATGTCTAATATTTCTACCTTTTGTTCTTGGTGGAAAGTAGGTATAATAATGGTTTTATGCAGAAGATTGCTTTTGAACTCTGCCACTTGAAGATGTAGGAGTGCCAAACTTCATCTACCATATTGATTCCTGATATTGGAGAAGTTCAGTGAAATAAATTTTTCATTTAAAATAGTAATCTCTAATATCTTGTATCTGGTGATAGTATAGATTTCTTCTGGACCCATAAATGAAATGTCTGAATTTTTTGTATCGCATTTTAATCTTGGAAATTATAAAATTCATAAGATTCCAGGTCTTCTTCAGGCAGCATCAATGTATAGAAATCCTTCTCTGTACTACTTACTGATCTGAGCGTATACTGTTATAAGAACCACCCTCGAAAATAACCACACAGACTTAAACTGAGTCTCCTACTTTTTAAATCCCAGGGATTATCGGCAGTTAAAATATGTTGAAGGCATAAGAGGAAGGAAAGGGAGGGTGGAAGGCAAAAAAGAAAACATTACAAGTCATGAGAAGTAGAGTCCTTCCAAAAATTGTTTTATTCAGATCCTTCTGAACAGAAAATAGCTTAAAGGTCTTGGAATCTGGAGGTAATGCAGTAGTCTGAATAGTGATCAGACGATTCCAGATTATATATTCCAATCACAGTTTTCCCCCTAACAAAAACAATGTGTGTTAACATATCCTAAAACTTGAATGGTCTACAGATATCTGTCTAAATAACTTACTACTCTATTGTCCTACATATTCTATAGGACATTGAATATGAAAACAGCCCTACCTCTAGAGGTGAAAGTGGCAATGCTGAGAAAGTTAAGTGGTAAATTCTACTTGGTGCCAGAATATTCTTTTGCTCTGGTTCTTCAATATCCTCTCCGCTTTACTGAAATTCATACAAACTTAGTGCTGCTGCTAGGAACATTTAAAAATTGTGAGTTGTTTTCCCAAATTTTGGAGGAAAAAACATAGTGTTTAAGCACATTTGCAAATGAGAGCTGTCTTCTTAGGGCTTAATCACATCAATAGTTTTATTTCCATAATAAAATTGATGTAATATATTTTGCCCTGAATTTATAGATAATATCTGCATAAATATGCTTAACTACATATTTATGTTTTGGATATGGACTTAAAGGGAAGAAGGATCAATTTAGAAATTGTTTGAAAAGAAGATGGGAGGCTTACAGTGTCAGATATTAAAACATCACAATACTATAATAATTAAATTAGTGCTCCTGATGCAAGTTGAGATAGCATGATGGAATGGAAGAGAAATTACATAAACAGGCAAGCATACAAGACTTTTGTATTTAAAAGGTAACATTTCAATTCTAGAAAAACAATTTATTCAGTAAATAATCCAGTGATGGCTGGAAGAAAATGATAGTGTAACCTTAGGATTGAAGAGTTAAATGTAGAAAAATTAAGTTATATAATACTAGAAGAAAATATGTGACTCTTGTAAAATCTCGAGTTGGGAAATTAAAACTGAATTGGGAAAAACTATAAAGGAAAGAGATTAAACTTCAAAAAAAACCCTGTGCTTTTTAAACACCATAAAGTGCTTTTTAAACAACCTAGTAAAGTGAAAAGACAAATTTCAAACTGGGGGAAGTATTTGCAACAGATATGTTAGGCAAAGGTCCTGTAATAGAGAATATCTCCATTGAAAAATGAGCAATGGATTTGCACAAGAAATACAAATATATGAATCAAACCTGGCTGAAAATAACAATGAGATTTTCTCCAATTTGCAGATATTAAAAAGGATTTTTAAAAAATTTTTTTGAGAGGGCAGCTCTCATTTATTGATCAAATGGTTGTTAACAACAATAAAATTCTGTATAGGGTAGTCAATGCTCAATGCACAATCATTAATCCACCCCAAGCCTAATTCTCGTCAGTCTCCAATCTTCTGAAGCATAACGAACAAGTTCTTACATGGTGAACAAATTCTTACATAGTAAATAAGTTCTTACATGGTGAACAGTACAAGGGCAGTCATCACAGAAACTTTCGGTTTTGATCACGCAATCAGGTCAAATATGAATATTCGTTTGATTTTTATACTTGATTTATATGTGGATCCCACATTTCTCCCTTTATTATTATTATTATTTTTATTTTTAATAAAATGCTGAAGTGGTAGGTAGATGCAAGATAAAGGTAGAAAATATAGTTTAGTGTTGTAAGAGAGCAAATGTAGATGATCAGGTGTGTGCCTCAAGCTAAACAAGGGCAGCAAAACATCCACGGATGCAGGAAGATTTCTCTCAAAACAGGGGGGGTGAGGTTCTAAGCCTCACCTCTGTTGATCCCCAATTTCTCACCTGATGGCCCCCCTGCGACTGTGCCTGTCTTAGGTTGTTCCTCCCTTGAGGAATCTTACCCGTCTCTGGCTAACCAGTCATCTTCCGGGGCCATACAGGGAAATGTAAAGTTGGTAAGTGAGAAAGAAGCCATATTGTTTGAAAAGGTTAACTTTTTACTTCTTTGCAGATTTATGCCCTGTGGCTTCTATGCCCAGCATTTGTCTTGAGTAAAAAGGATTTTTGAGAGGAGAATGGGGAAATGAATTATTCATACACTGGTAATGGGAGCACAAATTTGTGAAAACTTTTTGAGGAGGAATTTATCAATGTGTATCAAAAGCCTTAAGTGTATATTCTCTAACCTCATAGTTCCACTTTATTCATAGATGGTTACATAGTCCATCTACGTCATATAGAAAACATTTATTCTTTTTAGATGCCCAGAATTTGAACCTCCTTTCTCTATTTGTAGTATCCCCCACCGAGTAAGTCTTGCTGGGATATTTATTTTAGTTGTCTATCTCCTACCTACCCCAATGGAATGTAAATTAGATAGATAGGAGGCTAGCTTTCCAGCTTTCTTCCTGATTCTGTGAGCTACTTAATATTCATATCTTAACATTTTATTCTCTTAATTTTTCAATTTGAAATGTATGTACAAAAGAATGTGTAAAGTAAGTATCATTTAAAAGTCAACAGGTTTAACTTCCAGATTTAAGAAATCAACTAGAACCAATACCTTAGAAGCTTCCTGTTTATCCTTCACTGATAACATTGCTCCTCCTACCCCAGCAGAGTGCCACTCTTTATTTCTTATTAATCATTCTTTTCTTTATAGTTCTACCACCCATGCATCTATCTCTAAATAATATATTATTTGATTTTGGAATCATAGCATTTGTTTTCTTTGATGATTTAATTTTTATAGTCAACATTATGTATTTTAGAATCACATATTGCTTGTATTGAGCTAGTGTGCCCTTGTATGGCTGTACATGTTTTTACTTAGTGTATATTCTGATTGGTCAGTTTCTATGCTGCCTAGTTAGTAAATACTTTTAAAATCACCCCTCGATTCATTCATTTAATGTGCGCCCTGTATAATAATCTTTCATGTGAAATTACTGCTATTTATCCATTCCACTATTGATGAATATTTGAATGTTTCTTTTTTAGAATTATAAGCAATGCTACATTGAGCATCTTATAACATGTCTGATTACACATGCACAAGGGCATGTACGCTCTCTAAGGCATATACCAAGGAATGGAAAACTGGGTCATTTGGTACACAGATCTCCAACTTTACTTGGAAATGTCACTGTTGCAAAAATATTTCTATCAATTTACACTCCCAGCAGCCTCTTCCTTGCTTCACATCTTTGACATGTCATACCATCTGGCCTTAAAATTTCTGCCAACCCAGCGAGTATGATGTGATGTTTCATTGTGGTTTTTGTTTGCTTTTCCTTGATTACTAATAAAGTTGAATGTCTTTTCATAGCTTTATGGACTGTATTTTCCTCTTCTGTAAAAATGCTGATTCATGTCTTTTGCTCATTTGTCTACTGG